CACAATCACGCTGATACAGGGGAACCCAAATTCTGCACAATCACATTAATACAGGGGAACCCAAATTCTGCACAATCACACTAATACTGATACACTGGAATTGAAATTCTAAATTCTGCACAATCACACTAATAGAGGGGAACTGAAATTCTGCACATCACACTAATAGAGGGGAACTGAAATTCTGAACAATCACACTGATACAGTGGAATTGAAATTCTGCACAATAACACTGATACTGATACACTGGAATTGAAATTCTAAATTCTGCACAATCACACTGATATACTGGAATTAAAATTCTGCACAATCACACTGATACAGTAGAATTAACATTTTGCACAATCACACTGATACAGTGGAATTGAAATTCTGCACAATCACACTGATACTGATACACTGGAATTGAAATTCTGCACAATCACACTGATACTGATACACTGGAATTGAAATTCTGCACAATAACACTGATACTGATACAGTGGAATTGAAATTCTGCACAATAACACTGATACTGATACACTGGAATTGAAATTCTGCACAATAACACTGATACTGATACAGTGGAATTGAAATTCTGCACAATCACACTGATACACTGGAATTGAAATTCTGCACAATCACACTGATACTGATACAGTGGAATTGAAATTCTGCACAATCACACTGATACTGATACACTGGAATTGAAATTCTGCACAATAACACTGATACTGATACAGTGGAATTGAATTTCTGCACAATCACACTGATACACTGGAATTGAAATTCTGCACAATCACACTGATACTGATACAGTGGAATTGAAATTCTGCACAATCACACTGATACTGATACACTGGAATTGAAATTCTGCACAATCACACTAATACACTGGAATTGAAATTCTGCACAATCACACTGATACAGTGGAATTGAAATTCTGCACAATCACACTGATACACTGGAATTGAAATTCTGCACAATAACACTGATACTGATACAGTGGAATTGAAATTCTGCACAATCACACTGATACTGATACAGTGGAATTGAAATTCTGCACAATCACACTGACACACTGAAATTGAAATTCAACTCCAGCTATGAAGATTTGAACAAAGCACTTTAGGAAATGACTAGGGTATTATAATGCTCAGCAGTTGTTATTTTGTGTCAAAACTGGACAATCTTGCTGTCTGAGATTTGCTACCTGCTACAGACATAATTAATGCAGCATTTTGAGGAATGAACACTGTTTTTTTACAATGTCCATGAGACTCTTATCAAACATGTAGTAGAGTAGTTTACTGCTGGGAGGGGTGATAGCAACCAGTCTATCAGCCCGTTTAGTGTTCCACACACCTGTACAACTGAAGTAGAAAATCCATTTATATTCCTGCACTTTGCTTATTAAGCAAGCCACAGCATGTGTTGAGCTGTTTTATTCTCTAGTCACAACCAGATTATCAGCCCATTTAGTGTTCCGCATACCTGCATGCCCTGAGCAGACAATCCAGGAGCCTTTCAAGCAAGCCATAGCCGTGTGTTGAGCTGAACTGTTCTTCATCCACAGGAAAGCTGCCTTACCTCCTGCGCCTCAATACTCATTCTAGATGCTTCGATGTTAATACACACTTCTCTTTTATTTAAATAATTCCAGTTTGCACTAGCACACTATAACTTAGTTTGCATTTTTGAGGATACTCCATTCAGTATATTGTTGCTTGTTTTCTTTGCCCCCCAGTTTGATAACCCTGCCGATGGCATCCAAGTACACAGTGTTTGTGATCAATATGACAGACACTGGCATCAAGTGAACATCATTGTGATCTGGGCAGCTGAGTCATACGTTGTCTGCAGACATGAACATCCTTGCTCACTTACTGTTTCTGGCTTCCCTGTCGACAGCACAAGGTTAGTCACTATTAATGGCTGCTTCACACTCATCATTGATCGTAATTGTCATTTTTGGGATAGTTATTGTACGGTTGTAGTTTCAGTACAGTTGCTTACGATACAGTTGTAGTTTCAGTACAGTTGGTTACTATACAGTTGTAGTTTATCTACAGTTATCATCTATGTACACTTATAATTATTTTACAGTTATAGTTTATGTGCAGCTATAGTTATTATACACTTATAGTTGCTGTATAGTAGTTATGTTGTGTGAACAGTTATAGTTTATGTGCACTTATAATTATTTTACATTTATAGTTTATGTGCAGTTATAGTTACTATACACTTATAGTTGTTGTATAGTAGTTATGTTGTGTGAGCAGTTATAGTTTATGTGCAGTTATAGTTTATTACAGTTATAGTTTATGCACACTTATAATTATTTTACAGTTAGAGTTTTTGTACAGCAATAGTAACTGTACGGTTATAGTTATGCATAGTTATAGTTACTGCAGTGACTCTGTGTCTCATTCGCTCTGGCTCCCGTCACTTGCAGACTCCTCTTCCACGTACCAACATCAACACCACGAGTCAAATGAACGACAGTGAACACCACAATGCAGTTTCACACTTTATTCTCCACTCGCTGTTTCTTTAGGTGGTACATGGGGAAGTTCATGTCTAGAGAAAATGAATGTTCTACTCAAATGTACAAGATATCAATCGACCTTACTTTTTGGCTGAAAACAACCTCCATTACCACAGGAAGAAACAACACAACTTTCTCCATACGAGCTAACACACAACATCAGCCGGCTGCCAGGATTTCCACCAGTCCCCTGCTGTCCGGCCAAGTAGGCGTTGAGAAACTCTGCAGACATATCAGACTCGAACACATTCTGGACCCAACAGACACTCCTTCGTTCTTCATGCCTTGAGTTTCTTGGCCCAGACGAGACTGTCCACGTGCCTCTTTCTAAGGCATGATATAATCTTCTGATGCCCACATTAACATTACGACTTTTTCGTGTTCTCTGATTCACACGGGTTCCATTTAGCCAACACTTTCTCCGTGACTCACGGCTCTGCCCTTGTTACATTTAAATATCTCATTTATTATTTATTAGCTGACATCATTCCGTCTGGAACATAACTTATCAAGGAGAAAATGGTTCACTACAGTTACAGTGCAATTAAAGTATATGTACAGTTTTAGTTTATGTAAGTTATAGTTTATGTAAGTTAATAGAGTCATTTACAGTGCACTTAAAGTGTATGTGCAGTTTTAGTTTATGTACAGTTATAGTTTATGTAAGTTATAGTTTATGTAAGTTATAGTTTATGTACAGTTATAGTTAATATATAGTTATAGTTTATGTACATTTACAGCTTATGTACAATTAGTTTCTGTACATTTATAGTTTATACTTTCCATCAGCATTTAACATTGCTAAAGTTGATCCTCTGCTCAGCCCTGGCTCAGTTGACAGTAGTCCTCTTGGCAATTATAGACCTATTTCTCTACTGTCCTCGCTATTCAAACCATTGTATTATGAAGGTATTGTAACGTTCAGACAGATGATATTGTTGTAACCATCAGACAGAAGGTATTGTAACCATCAGATAGAGGGTTTGTTGTAACCATCAGACAGAAGGTATTGTAACAATTAGACAGAAGGTATTGTAACCATCAGACACAAGGTATTGTTGTAACCACCAGACAGAAAGTATTGTAACCATCAGACAGAAGGTATTGTAACCATCAGACAGAAGGTATTGTAACCATCAGACAGAGGGTATTGTAACCATCAGACAGAAGGTATTGTAACCATCAGACAGAAGGTATTGTAACCATCAGACAGAAGGTATTGTAACCATCAGACAGAAGGTATTGTAACTATCAGACAGAAGGTATTGTAACCATCAGACAGAAGGTATTGTAACCATCAGACAGAAGGTATTGTAACCATCAGACAGAAAGTATTGTTACCATCAGACAGAAGGTATTGTAACCATCAGACAGAAAGTATTGTAACCATCAGACACCTAACTCAGTAAAATAGCTCACAGAGAGAAGACACTCAGCTCCTTTCTCACTCAAACAAAACCTGTCTCACAGATAAGTAAGCACTTAAGTGAGAGTGTTGTTTTGAGTTAAAAGAGAAAAACATTTGAAAACTTCACTGGTACTTTGCACTAAAGACTGGTTAAAAACTGTTGGTGTTTTGGTGTTATTATTTTAAGCCGCAACATATCATTGTTAGGGATGGGAAAATTTGTAAATAAGTCTAGGTTCCTTTCCCGCATGAGTACAGATCACCCTGGGTAACTCCAGGCATATTTTTACAATGTTTAAAAATTCTGGAACCGGTCGCTACTCCACTAGAGTGGTTTGACAGATGATGCTCATAGTCGTTTTCAGATTACTTATGCCAAGTCTTCATATATACATTTTGTGTCACTGTCACTTATGACCAGAGCTCAAGTGAGCCTCACAGTCCTTCTGCATATGTTCTGTAAAAAATGTGTTTAGAAGAAGAAAACAACTATTATTGTCTCTTTGGCTACGTCCTTTTTCTGGCTACAGCAGTACGTGTACAGAACAAGGCTGGTGAAAGATAGAAAAGTCCTCATAAGCATATGTTAATCGGAACAGATGACTCCCTAAATTCACTGTCCCTGGGTCCTTTAGAATTGTTTAACTGAATTAAATATAATTCAGAACGCTGTCTCGTTTTTAATCCCACCAGCAAATTCAGGGAGAAAAAACATTACTTCTACATACTACGTGAAATTGTAACTTCTCTTCTTTCCTCTATCCTAGAATGTGTCACAGCATCAGAGAAGGAAGAGATCTCTGGAACGGGCCCTTCTGTTGACTGTATATAGCACTTCTCAATGTCTCTGATGTTTTTATGGTCCAGTTTTGGTGTGGTCAATCTCTGTCTGAAACAAACACACAAAATAGTAGAAGTAGAAGAAGAGTGACAACTTGCCTCTCTTATCAGTCCAGTATCACTGAAATATCCAAAGTTTGAAATTGAAATAAGTCACTTGATTCTGCTAATAAGTGACATCAACAGTAGGGAGTGTGGGTGCCACAAAGTCCACAATAGGGAGTGTGGGTGCCACAAAGTCCACAGTAGGGAGTGTCTGTACCACAAAGTCAACAGTAGGGAGTGTCAGTGCCACAGAGTCAACAGTAGGGAGTGTCAGTGCCACAAAGTCAACAGTAGGGAGTGTCAGTGCCACAAAGTCTACCACTGATATGATATTTCCCAGCTATATCATGTCACTGACACCTAACACTGATGTGTATGTATTTTCAGATGAAGAAATGCCAGTTCTAGGAGCTGATCGAGTCCAAGAATTCCATGCCTGTGTTGGATCAAATGCCTACATTCCATGGCCTCTGAACGTTGTGTCCAGGACAGGTCATAAGTCAACTGTTATATATTTGTTCTTCCAGCGATGGCAAAGTGAAAAAAGGATACTAATTGCCACTTTCAGTGGTCACAATGAGTTGACAACATACAGTCACTTCAAGAACAGGTATTTTTGTCTGCTTTCAAGGGTGTGTATGCTCATCTTGGGAGGTATGTTTATCTTGTAAACATGTGCTCATTTTGTGAGTGTATGCTCATCTTGGGAGGTATGTTTATCTTGTAAACATATGCTCATTTTGTGAGTGTATGCTCATCTTGGGAGGTATGTTTATCTTGTAAACATATGCTCATTTTGTGAGTGTATGCTCATCTTGTGTGTGTATGCTCATTTTGTAAATGTATGCTCATCTTGGGAGGTATGTTTATCTTGTGAGGTGTGCTCATCTTGTAGATGTTTGCTCATCTTGTGAGGTATGCTCATCTTGTAGATGTATGCTCATCTTGTAGATGTATGCTCATCTTGTAGATGTATGCTCATCTTGTAGATGTTTGCTCATCTTGTAGATGTTTGCTCATCTTGTAGATGTTTGCTCATCTTGTAGATGTTTGCTCATCTTGTAGATGTTTGCTCATCTTGTAGATGTATGCTCATCTTGTAGATGTATGCTCATCTTGTAGATGTAGGCTCATCTTGTGAGGTATGCTCATCTTGTAGATGTTTGCTCATCTTGTAGATGTATGCTCATCTTGTAGATGTATGCTCATCTTGTAGATGTATGCTCATTTTGTGAGGTATGCTCATCTTGTAGATGTATGCTCATCTTGTAGATGTATGCTCATCTTGTAGATGTATGCTCATCTTGTAGATGTATGCTCATCTTGTAGATGTATGCTCATCTTGTAGATGTATGCTCATCTTGTAGATGTGTGCTCATCTTGTAGATGTATGCTCATCTTGTAGATGTATGCTCATCTTGTAGATGTAGGCTAATCTTGTGAGGTATGCTCATCTTGTAGATGTTTGCTCATCTTGTAGATGTATGCTTATCTTGTGAGGTATGCTTATCTTGTAGATGTATGCTCATCTTGTGAGGTATGCTCATCTTGTAGATGTATGCTCATCTTGTAGATGTATGCTCATCTTGTAGATGTATGCTCATCTTGTAGATGTATGCTCATCTTGTAGATGTATGCTTATCTTGTAGATGTGTGCTTATCTTGTGAGGTATGCTCATCTTGTAGATGTATGTTCATCTTTGTAAGATATGCTCATCTTGTGGTTGTATGCTCATCTTGTGGGTGTATGCTCATCTTGTGGGTGTTTGCTCATCTTGTGGGTGTATGCTCATCTTGTTGTTGTATGCTCATCTTGTGGGTGTTTGCTCATCTTGTTGTTGTATGCTCATCTTGTGGGTGTATGCTCATCTTGTGGGTGTATGCTCATCTTGTGGGTGTATGCTCATCTTGTAAGGTATGCTCATCTTGTGGGTGTATGCTCATCTTGTGGGTGTTTGCTCATTTTGTGGTTGTATGCTCATCTTGTGGGTTTTTGCTCATCTTGTTGTTGTATGCTCATCTTGTGGGTGTTTGCTCATCTTGTTGTTGAATGCTCATCTTGTGGGTGTTTGCTCATCTTGTGGTTGTTTGCTCATCTTGTGGGTGTATGCACATCTTGTGGTTGTTTGCTCATCTTGTGAGGTATGCTCATCTTGTAAGGTATGCTCATCTTGTATAGAGAGGCTAGAAAGAGTTAAAAAAGAAAAGGTAGAAGATTACAAGCGCTGTGCAGCAGATGCAAAGAAAGCTAAATGGGAACATTTTATGAGCGAAATTGGAGGGGATAGATCACTGGTTAGGTTTTGGAGACTTCACAGACAGATGCAAAGGAAGGATCGGCCTATTACAACAGGCATTATATACACTGATAAGATATACCAATGACAACAGACAAAGAGAAAGGGGAAGCATTTTTTGAAGAGATTTATAGCCCAAACTTTAAGGAACAGTACAATGTCACTGTACAAAACCGGTATAATGCAATGGAAATTGTACAGACTATTGATGAACAGTGGGATATGTTGCGTGAGTCAGTTCAGCAGACATCAAAAGAGACAATCCCACCAACCCATAGAGTTGCAAAAAAAGAAATGGATGTCAACCGAAATTCTGCAGTTGATGGATGAAAGAAGGAAGAAAAAAAATGATAAAGAAGAGTACTCTAGAATACAAAAAGAAATAGTGAACAAATGCAAAGTGGCTAAAAAAGCCTGGATAAGTCAAATGTGTACAGAGATTGGGGAAAACAACAGGAAAGACTCACATTCCATGTACCAAAAGATAAATATGTTAACAGGTAACAGCACTGGATGTTTGAAATCAAAAGATGGTGACTAATTAATGGGACATAGTAATATAATTAACAGATGGACAGAGTATATAGGGGAACTGTATGATGATAATAGACCAGATGTAGAACTGCAGACCAACAATGATGGTCCACCAATAATGACTGCAGAAGTTGAGAATGTAATACATAATATGAAGAAAGGAAAAGCACCTGGGCCAGACAACATCTCACTGGAAGAAATTGAAGCACTGGGAGATTTTGGAATTGAAATAATAACTAAACTTTTAAATGATATTTATAATAGTGGGTATATTCCAAATGACCTTTTAAAATCCATATTTATAGCTCTGCCAAAGAAACCAGGCACTTTGAAATGTGAAGAACATCACACAATAAGTCTTATGAGTCACATGACTAAGATTTTACTGAGAAATATTATGAGAAGAATAAGAAACAAAATCAAACCAGAAATCAGCATTGAACAGTGTGGATTTGTAGAAGGAAAAGGTACAAACAATGCCATATACATCCTAAGGACATTGTCAGAAAGAGCTATAGAAGTAAAGACTGATTTGTACTTATGCTTCATAGACTATACAAAAGCATTTGACTGAAGCATGAAGAAGTAATCAAACTGCTAGAAAAATTAAACATTGATGGAAAAAATCTACGAATAATAAAGAATATGTATTGGCAACAAACTGCAGCTATAAGAATTAACAACTGTTTAGGTACAGTTCAAAGCATAAAGAGGGGCGTACGACAAGGATGTGTACTGTCACCATATTTGTTTTCAATATACAGTGAATATATAATGAGATCTTTAATTGATATGCCTGGAATTGTGGTTGGTGGGCACAATATAAACAATTTACATTATGCTGATGACACAGTCTTGATAGCAACAAGTCAGAAAAAAATTACAGGAAATGATAGACATTTTGGTGTTAGAAAGTGGAAGACAGGTTCATAGACATTCGGTCTCTGTCTCATGGCTGGTATATTTCTGTTAATTTATGCTACAGTACAGGCTCATAGACATTTGGTCTCTGACTCATGGCTGGTATATTTCTGTTAATGTATGCTACAGTACAGGCTCATAGACATTTGGTCTCTGACTCATGGCTGGTATATTTCTGTTAATGTATGCTACAGTACAGGCTGTGACAACAGTTGTGAATGTAACCCAACTAAGCCCACTGGTTGTGTCAGAAGATCTGAATGCTGTGACAACAGTTGTGAATGTAACCCAACTAAGCCCACCGGTTGTGTCAGAAGATCTGAATGCTGTGAAAACAGTTGTGAATGTAACCCAACTAAGCCCACTGGTTGTGTCAGAAGATCTGAATGCTGTGACAACGGTTGTGAATGTAACCCAACTAAGCCCACTGGTTGTGTCAGAAGATCTGAATGCTGTGACAACGGTTGTGAATGTAACCCAACTAAGCCCACTGGTTGTGTCAGAAGATCTGAATGCTGTGACAACAGTTGTGAATGTAACCCAACTAAGCCCACTGGTTGTGTCAGAAGATCTGAATGCTGTGACAACAGTTGTGAATGTAACCCAACTAAGCCAACTGGTTGTGTCAGAAGATCTGAATGCAGTGACAACAGTTGTGAATGTAACCCAACTAAGCCCACTGGTTGTGTCAGAAGATCTGAATGCTGTGACAACAGTTGTGAATGTAACCCAACTAAGCCCACTGGTGGTGTCAGAAGATCTGAATGCTGTGACAACAGTTGTGAATGTAACCCAACTAAGCCCACTGGTTGTGTCATAAGATCTGAATGCTGTGACAACAGTTGTGAATGTAACCCAACTAAGCCCACTGGTTGTGTCAGAAGATCTGACTGCTGTGTCAACAGTTGTGAATGTAACCCAACTAAGCCCACTGGTTGTGTCAGAAGATCTGAATGCTGTGACAACAGTTGTGAATGTAACCCAACTAAGCCCACTGGTTGTGTCAGAAGATCTGAATGCTGTGACAACAGTTGTGAATGTAACCCAACTAAGCCCACTGGTTGTGTCAGAAGATCTGAATGCTGTGACAACAGTTGTGAATGTAACCCAACTAAGCCCACTGGTTGTGTCAGAAGATCTGAATGCTGTGACAACAGTTGTGAATGTAACCCAACTAAGCCCACTGGTTGTGTCATAAGATCTGAATGCTGTGACAACAGTTGTGAATGTAACCCAACTAAGCCCACTGGTTGTGTCAGAAGATCTGACTGCTGTGACAACAGTTGTGAATGTAACCCAACTAAGCCCACTGGTTGTGTCAGAAGATCTGAATGCTGTGACAACAGTTGTGAATGTAACCCAACTAAGCCCACTGGTTGTGTCAGAAGATCTGAATGCTGTGACAACAGTTGTGAATGTAACCCAACTAAGCCCACTGGTTGTGTCAGAAGATCTGAATGCTGTGACAACAGTTGTGAATGTAACCCAACTAAGCCCACTGGTTGTGTCAGAAGATCTGAATGCTGTGACAACAGTTGTGAATGTAACCCAACTAAGCCCACTGGTTGTGTCAGAAGATCTTAATGCTGTGACAACAGTTGTGAATGTAACCCAACTAAGCCCACCGGTTGTGTCAGAAGATCTGAATGCTGTGACAACAGTTGTGAATGTAACCCAACTAAGCCCACTGGTTGTGTCAGAAGATCTGAATGCTGTGACAACGGTTGTGAATGTAACCCAACTAAGCCCACTGGTTGTGTCAGAAGATCTGAATGCTGTGACAACAGTTGTGAATGTATCCCAACTAAGCCCACTGGTTGTGTCAGAATATCTGAATGCTGTGACAACAGTTGTGAATGTAACCCAACTAAGCCCACTGGTTGTGTCAGAAGATCTGAATGCTGTGACAACAGTTGTGAATGTAATCCAACTAAGCCCACTGGTTGTGTCAGAAGATCTGAATGCTGTGACAACAGTTGTGAATGTAACTCATCTAAGACCACTGGTTGTGTCAGAAGATCTAAAGGCTGTGACACCAGTTCTGAATGTAACTCATCTAAGCCCACTGGTTGTGTCAGAAGATCTAGAGGCTGTGACAACAGTTCTGAATGTAACTCATCTAAGCCCACTGGTTGTGTCAGAAGATCTAAAGGTTGTGACAACAGTTCTGAATGTAACTCATCTAAGCCCACTAGTGTTAGAAGATATTCATATATGATTCATATGTTGCCCCTTAAAGAAGAATTGACCTCTTATGTCTGATCCACAGGTTGATTGTTTCCAGTGAGAACTCTGGGATATTCTTGCAGCAGACATCCATGGATGATGCAGGCACTTACACTGCCCAGGCACGTGTCAACAAGGGTCAGTTTTGGACAAGAAGCACCAATTTAACTATTCTGTGTAAGTTTGCCATCTGGTAATGTAATTGCTGTATGATTGTAAGTTTGCCAAGTGTTAATGTGACTGCTATATAATTGTCAGTTTGCCATGCAGTCATGTGACAGCTGTGTGATTGTCAGTTTGCCCAGTGTTAATGTGACTGCTATATGATTGTCAGTTTGCCATGCAGTCATGTGACAGCTGTGTGATTGTAAGTTTGCCAAGTGTTAATGTGACTGCTATATGATTGTAAGTTTGCCAAGTGTTAATGTGACTGCTATATGATTGTCAGTTTGCCATGCAGTCATGTGACAGCTGTGTGATTGTAAGTTTGCCAAGTGTTAATGTGACTGCTATATGATTGTAAGTTTGCCAAGTGTTAATGTGACTGCTATATGATTGTAAGTTTGCCAAGTGTTAATGTGACTGCTATATGATTGTAAGTTTGCCAAGTGTTAATGTGACTGCTATATGATGGTCAGTTTGCCATGCAGTCATGTGACAGCTGTGTGATTGTAAGTTTGCCAAGTGTTAATGTGACTGCTATATGATTGAAAGTTTGCCAAGTGTTAATGTGACTGCTATATGATTGTCAGTTTGCCAAGTGTTAATGTGACTGCTATATGATTGTAAGTTTGCCAAGTGTTAATGTGACTGCTATATGATGGTCAGTTTGCCAAGTGTTAATGTGACAGCTGTGTGATTGTAAGTTTGCCAAGTGTTAATGTGACTGCTATATGATGGTCAGTTTGCCATGCAGTCATGTGACTGCTGTGTGATTGTAAGTTTGCCAAGTGTTAATGTGACTGCTATATGATTGAAAGTTTGCCAAGTGTTAATGTGACTGCTATATGATTGTCAGTTTGCCAAGTGTTAATGTGACTGCTATATGATTGTAAGTTTGCCAAGTGTTAATGTGACTGCTAAATGATGGTCAGTTTGCCATGCAGTCATGTGACAGCTGTGTGATTGTAAGTTTGCCAAGTGTTAATGTGACTGCTATATGATTGTAAGTTTGCCAAGTGTTAATGTGACTGCTATATGATTGTCAGTTTGCCAAGTGTTAATGTGACTGCTATATGATTGTAAGTTTGCCAAGTGTTAATGTGACTGCTAAATGATGGTCAGTTTGCGCTGCAGTCATGTGACTGCTGTGTGATTGTAAGTTTGCCAAGTGTTAATGTGACTGCTATATGATTGTCAGTTTGCCCTTTCATGTGACTGCTGTATGATTGTTAAGTTTGCCATGTGGTCAACAAAAACTGTCACTACAGTATGTGTAGGTCAATGTAGCCATAGAAGTTACCGCTGCATGCTGTCACCACGGATTGTTTAATTTTGCCCTCGACATAGTAAAAAAACTTCATAACCTAACCAGTGATGGAACCCACAATAAAAAGTACACTATACTAACAAATAGCGGAGAAAAATACCCCGAACAAGTCATCTCTCCCTCTTCGAAGGGAGATTTGTAACTGACCTTGGCATCTGTGTCCACCCAAACTAAACTGCACTGTAAGCCGTCTTAGTTAACAGTTTCTGTCATCGTCGAATAGTTTTTGATAGAGTGAAGCATCGCGGGGAGGCTAACTGGGACTTACTGAAATCTTTTAAGGGAAAAAGAACAATTATCACCCTGCGGGGAATTGACCACCGGTCATCCGCATGAAGGGGGGAATACTTACAACTATACTACCGAACACTGAAGAGTTTAGGGCAGATATCGCAGCCTAGCTGTAAACCACAACACAACATGTCAACGGCCCTCTCGAGGGCGAACGAAGATTACCTGTGACATGACCATTGAGCATCAGGTCGCCGCTGTCGCAGGCTAGCTGTAAAGCCCAAAACCGAACAAAGACGTAGATATCGCAGTCCAGCCATAAACCACAACACAACGTGCCAGCCGCCCAGTTAAAGGCAACAACAAAAATTATATCGCCTAGCGGGGAATCGAACGCCGGTCACCCCCATGATAAGCAGAATAGTTACAACTACGCTACCAAACTCTCAAGTAGATAGTGGAAATGAAATTATATACTAATGCAAAGTTCCATAAGAGCTCAGAAGTCAAAAATGGCCAATTAACTAAAAACAAATCCAGGCCGGCAATGAAACAAATAATGATTTGACCGTTGCTGGAGCTACGTTGTTCGTTGTTTGTGCAATTTTCTGACAAAAAATCACGCTTTGAGTCAAGGGCAACGTTATATGAAAATATGAAAGCAATCGGTTCGGCAGTTTCCGAGTTTAGAGTTACCAAACTCGTAAAATTAACATTTTTATTAATATAGATTTTTATGTGTAAATAAGCATTTGTGTAAACATCTATGTGTGTAACTAGGCGTGTGTGCAATCATCTATGTGTGTAACTAGGCGTGTATGCATTCATCCATATGTTTGACTAAGCATTTATACAGCCATCCATATCTCTTTGAGTCCCAAGGAACACATCATATGTTCATAGGTTCCTACTCAGAAGCCCAACAAACGCACGATGCATCGCTTCTATGTCTCTGTTAACTACCCCTTGGGCCTCTGATGCTTAATTCCCCCGGACTCAAATAGATATGTCCAAATAAGTTTGAAGTCTGACCACCTTCAGTCTTCTGAACACAGCTGGCACCATAAGGAAGGTTCTTCTGATATCATGAATGCTGTTAGAGAGAGGGCAGATATCCTGAAAACTGTCAAAGATATAACATAAACTGAATGCTGTCAGGGACATAACTGATATACTGAATGCTGTCAAAGACATGACTGATATACTGAATGCTGTCAAAGACATGACTGATATACTAAATACTGTCAAAGACATGACTGATATACTGAATACTGTCAAAGACATGACTGATATACTAAATACTGTCAAAGACATGGCTAATATACTGAATGCTGTCAAAGACATGACTGATATACTGAATGCGCTCAAATAACTGACTGATATACTGAATGCTGTCAGAGAGACATGCTTGATATACTGAATGCTGTCAGAGAGACATGACTGATATACTGAATGATGTCAAAGACATGACTTATATACTGATTGCTGTCATAGATATAACATAAACTGAATGCTGTCAAACACATAGCTGATATACTGAATGCTGTCAAAGTCATGACTGATATACTGAATGCTGTCAGAGATATAACATAAACTAAATGCTGTCAAAGACATGGCTGATATACTGAAGGCTGTCAAAGTCATGACTGATATACTGAATGCTGTCAGAGATATAACATAAACTGAATGCTGTCAAAGACATGGCTGATATACTGAATGCTGTCAGAGAGACATGACTGATATACTGAATGCTGTCAGAGAGACATGACTGATATACTGAATGCTGTCAAAGACATGACTGATATACTGAATAATGCTGTCAAAGACATGGCTGATATACTGAATGATGTCAAAGACATGACTAATATACTGAATGCTGTCAAAGAGACATGACTGATATACTGAATGCTGTCAGAGACACATGACTGATATACTGAATGCTGTCAGAGAGACATGACTGATCTACTGAATGCTGTCAGAGAGACATGACTAATATACTGAAGGCTGTCAAAGACATGACTAATATACTGAATGCTGTCACAGAGACATGACTAATATACTGAATGCTGTCAGAGAGACATGACTGATATACTGAATGCTGTCAAAGTCATGACTGATATACTGAATGCTGTCAGAGATATAACATAAACTAAATGCTGTCAAGGACATGGCTGATATACTGAAGGCTGTCAAAGTCATGACTGATATACTGAATGCTGTCAGAGATATAACATAAACTGAATGCTGTCAAAGACATGGCTGATATACTGAATGCTGTCAGAGAGACATGACTGATATACTGAATGCTGTCAGAGAGACATGACTGATATACTGAATGCTGTCAAAGACATGACTGATATACTGAATGCTGTCAAAGACATGGCTGATATACTGAATGATGTCAAAGACATGACTAATATACTGAATGCTGTCAAAGAGACATGACTGATATACTGAATGCTGTCAGAGACACATGACTGATATACTGAATGCTGTCAGAGAGACATGACTGATCTACTGAATGCTGTCAGAGAGACCTGACTGATATACTGAATGCTGTCAGAGAGACATGACTAATATACTGAATGCTGTCAGAGAGACATGACTGATATACTGAAGGCTGTCAAAGACATGACTAATATACTGAATGCTGTCACAGAGACATGACTAATATACTGAATGCTGTCAGAGAGACATGACTGATATACTGAATGCTGTCAAAGACATGACTGATATACTGAATGCTGTCAGAGAGACATGACTGATATACTGAATGCTGTCAGAGAGACATGACTGATATACTGAATGCTGTCAGAGAGACATGACTGATATACTGAATGCTGTCAAAGACATGACTGATATACTGAATGCTGTCAGAGAGACATGACTGATATACTGAATGCTGTCAGAGAGACATGACTGATTTACTGAATGCTGTCAAAGACATGACTGATATACTGAATGCTGTCAAAGACATGACTGATATACTGAATGCGGTCAAAGACATGACTGATATACTGAATGTTGTCAGAGACATGACTGATATACTGAATGCTGTCAGAGAGACATGACTGATATACTGAATGCTGTCAGAGAGACATGACTGATTTACTGAATGCTGTTAAAGACATGACTGATATACTGAATGCTGTCAAAGACATGACTGATATACTGAATGCGGTCAATGACATGACTGATATACTGAATGCTGTCAAAGACATGACTGATGTACTGAATGCTGTCAAAGACATGACTGATATACTGAATGCTGTCAGAGACATGACTGATATACTGAATGCTGTCAAAGACATGACTGATATACTGAATGCGGTCAAAGACATGACTGATATACTGAATGTTGTCAGAGAGTCAGGACTTAGGCCCCCATCCTCATCCTACCCTTCTAATCTGAAAAAGGGCTGATTGTTTAATAACCTTTTATGAAACTAGTTAATTCTTCAGTATGATTGTTGAGTCCAATCCAGCAGCTTTTCTTTCTCTTAACTTATACTTGAGGCTTTCTCTCAGCTTATACTTGAGGCTTTCTCTCAGCTTATACTTGAGGCTTTCTCTCAGCTTATACTTGAGGCTTTCTCTCAGCTTATACTTGAGGCTTTCTCTCAGCTTATACTTGAGGCTTTCTCTCAACTTATACTTGAGGCTTTCTCTCAGCTTATACTTGAGGCTTTCTCTCAACTTATACTTGAGGCTTTCTCTCAGCTTGAGGCTTTCTCTCAACTTATACTTGAGGCTTTCTCTCAACTTATACTTGAGGCTTTCTCTCAACTTATACTTGAGGCTTTCTCTCAACTTGAGGCTTTCTCTCAACTTATACTTGAGGCTTTCTCTTGCATGTTCCTGTTTCCTTAGTCTATTTATTTCCCATTGTATTGCTGTTATTCTCTTCTCAGGATGTGTCTGTTGTAGCCCCATCCTCTTTGTCTTATCATTGTTGATACTAGTGGTTGCCCTGACATGTCTGTTGTTTCATCACATTTAATGTTTATCATTGTTGGTACTAGTGGTTGCCCTGACATGTCTTTTGTTTCATCCAATTTAATGTTAATAATTATTGATACTAATGGTTGCCCCGGCATTTGTCTGTTGTTTCATCCCATTTAATGTTTATAATTGTTGATACTAGTGGTTGCCCTGACATGTCTGTTGTTTCATCCCATTTAAGATGTTCATCATTGTTGATACTAGTGGTTGCCCTGACATGTCTGTTGTTTCATCCCATTTAATGTTTATCATTGTTGATACCCGTGGTTGCCCTGACATGTCTGTTGTTTCATCCCATTTAATGTTTATAATTTTCTCAGGAATTGGTTTTAAAATGCATTTGGCTTTCTTCCACGTATGTATTAATTCTTCAATTAAAACTGAAAAAAACCTCAGACATGAAAATATGTAAATTGGTTGTAAATCTGAATAATTGAGAGTTCCATATTTTGTTCAGGCTATAAAAAGCTGCTGATGCCTTGCCTCTGTGTGTCATAGTTTCTGTCTTTATCTTTTCTTGGCTGTCAAGATGTCTGCCTTAAAAAAAAAAAGGTAAAGTCATCTTGATATTAATAGTCCAGGAAACACAGAACCAGAAACTAGGGTCACTTGTTTTATAAACTTTTCCTTAAAAAGCATGACCAATAACGTCAGTTTGTCTCTTCACCTGTTGTGTTTTGTCTTTTCACCTGTTGTGTTTTGTCTTTTCACCTGTTGTGTTTTGTCTTTCCACCTGTTGTGTTTTGTCTTTTCACCTGTTGTGTTTTGTCTTTTCACCTGTTCTGAAACTAGTGCGACCAATTATATTTGGTGGGAGACTGAATGTCAGCAAATCTGAGGTGGTGTTTGACTCCAGCAGAAGAAATCATTGTGTCAACTTGACCTGTGGCACACTGGAGTATGCTGGCTACCCACCAGTGACTTTTGTTTGGACTGTAAGTCTGTCTTTCATTATTTATTGTTGTCTGTCAGTCTGTCTGTCATTATTTATTGTTGTCTGTAAGTCTGTGTGTCAGTATTGTTGCCTGTAAGTCTGTCTGTCATTATTTATTGTTGTCTGTAAGTATGTCTGTCATTATTTATTGTTGTCTGTAAGGCTGTCTGTCATTATTTATTGTTGTCTGTAAGTCTGTCTGTCAGTATTTATTGTTGTCTGTAAGTCTGTCTGTCATTATTTATTGTTGTCTGAAAGTCTGTCTGTCATTATTTATTGTTGTCTGTAAGTCTGTATGTCATTATTTATTGTTGTCTGTAAGTCTGTCTGTCAGTATTTATTGTTGTCTGTCAGTCTGTCTGTCATTATTTATTGTTGTCTGTAAGTCTGTCTGTCATTATATATTGTTGTCTGTCGGTCTGTCTGTCATTATTTATTGTTGTCTGTGTGTCAGTATTTATTGTTGTCTGTAAGTCTGTCTGTCAGTATTTATTGTTGTCTGTAAGTCTGTCAGTATTTATTGTTGTCTGTAAGTCTGTCTGCCATTATTTCTTGTCTGTAAGTCTGGGTGTCAGTATTTATTGTTGTCTGTAAGTCTGTCTGTCTGTCAGTATTTATTGTTGTCTGTAAGTCTGTCATTATTTATTGTTGTCTGTAAGTCTGGGTGTCATTATTTATTGTTGTCTGTAAGTCTGTCTGTCATTATTTATTGTTGTCTGTAAGTCTGTCTGTCATTATTTATTGTTGTCTGTAAGTCTTGTCTGTCATTATTTATTGTTGTTTGTAAGTCTGTGTGTCAGTATTTATTGTTGTCTGTAAGTCTGTGTGTCATTATTTATTGTTGTCTGTAAGTCTGTATGTCAGTATTTATTGTTGTCTGTAAGCCTGTCTGTCATTATATATTGTTGTCTGTAAGTCTGTGTGTCATTATTTATTGTTGTCAGTAAGTCTGTCTGTCATTTATTGTTGTCTGTAAGTCTGTCTGTCATTATTTATTGTTGTTTGTAAGTCTGTCTGTCATTATTTATTGTTGTTTGTAAGTCTGTGTGTCAGTATTTATTGTTGTCTGTAAGTCTGTGTGTCATTATTTATTGTTGTCTGTAAGTCTGTATGTCAGTATTTATTGTTGTCTGTAAGCCTGTCTGTCATTATATATTGTTGTCTGTAAGTCTGTGTGTCATTATTTATTGTTGTCAGTAAGTCTGTCTGTCATTTATTGTTGTCTGTAAGTCTGTCTGTCATTATTCATTGTTGTCTGTAAGTCTGTCTATCATTATTTATTGTTGTCTGTAAGTCTGTCTGTCATTATTTATTGTTTTCTGTAAGTCTGTCTGTCATTATTTATTGTTGTCTGTAAGTCTGTCTGTCATTATTTATTGTTTTTTTGTAAGTCTGCGTGTCATTATTTATTGTTGTCTGTAAGTCTGTCTGTCAGTATTTATTGTTGTCTGTAAGTCTATCTGTCATTATTTATTGTTGTCTGTACATCTGTCTGTCAGTATTTATTGTTGTCTGTAAGTCTGTGTGTCAGTATTTGTTGTTGTCTGTAAGTCTGTGTGTCATTATTTATTGTTGTCTGTAAGTCTGTGTGTCATTATTTATTGTTGTCTGTTAGTCTATCTGTCATTATTTATTGTTGTCTGTACATCTGTCTGTCATTATTTATTGTTGTCTGTAAGTCTGTCTGTCATTATTTATTGTTGTCTGTAAGTCTGTCTGTCATTATTTATTGTTGTCTGTACATCTGTCTGTCATTATTTATTGTTGTCTGTAAGTCTGTCTGTCATTATTTATTGTTGTCTGTAAGTCTGTCTGTCATTATTCATTGTTGTCTGTAAGTCTGTCTATCATTATTTATTGTTGTCTGTAAGTCTGTCTGTCATTATTTATTGTTTTCTGTAAGTCTGTCTGTCATTATTTATTGTTGTCTGTAAGTCTGTCTGTCATTATTTATTGTTTTTTGTAAGTCTGCGAGTCATTATTTATTGTTGTCTGTAAGTCTGTCTGTCAGTATTTATTGTTGTCTGTAAGTCTGTGTGTCAGTATTTGTTGTTGTCTGTAAGTCTGTGTGTCATTATTTATTGTTGTCTGTACATCTGTCTGTCATTATTTATTGTTGTCTGTACATCTGTCTGTCATTATTTATTGTTGTCTGTAAGTCTGTCTGTCATTATTTATTGTTGTCTATAAGCCTGTATGTCATTATTTATTGTTGTCTGTAAGTCTGTCTGTCATTATTTATTGTTGTCTGTAAGTCTGTCTGTCATTATTTATTGTTGTCTATAAGCCTGTATGTCATTATTTATCATTGTCTGTAAGTCAGTCTGTCATTATTTATTGTTGTCTATAAGTCTGTCTGTCATTATTTATTGGTATCCGTAAGTCTATCTGTCATTATTTACTGTTTACTGTAAGCCTGTATGTCATTATTTATTGTTGTCTGTAAGTCTGTCTGTCATTATATTTTGTTATCTTTACTGTAAATCTGAGTCTTTTCTTTTTTACTGTAAGCCTTTGTAATTATTTTTTTTAAATTGGTTACTGTAAGTCTATGTCATAATTTTTTTTTCAACTGTAAGTCTTTGTCATTATTTATTGTTTTTTTATTGTAAATCTCTGTCATTATTTTTTTTTTATTGTAAGTCTTTATCATTATTTTTTGTTATTTTTACTATGTCTTTGTCATTATTAATTTTTTTTTTTTACTGTAAGTCTTCGTCATTATTTATTGGTTTTTTAAAAACTGTCTTCGTCATTATTTATTGTTACAGTAGAACCTCGCTTAACGAGCACCTCTCATAACCAGTAATTCGCATAACAAGCAAAACAAATTGTAAAAAATGACTTGCTTAACGTGTAACGTTTCACATAACGAGTGGCGAGGAGAGTGGAAGTCCTGAATTGTGCGCATGTTACATCAATCTGTGTTTAGCACTCGTTCCAGTAGCACCATAGTGTCGCTTGTGATCACACATTTTCTCAAACTTGTGTTATATTGTAATATATGCACATGAATCCTCCAGGCCTACAAGATGACCTCTCTGAAGAATTTAAGTTTATCAAGATCCAGTTTCTGCCTCCCAACACCACTCCATTTCTCCAGCCCATGGACCAGCAAGTTATTTCTAACTTTAAGAAGCTCTACACTAAAGTAATCTTTGAGCATTGTTTTCAGGTAAATGAAGGGACCAACCTCACTCTCAAAGAGTTTTGGAAAAATCACTTCCACATCGTTGCCTGCCTCAAAATGATTGACAAGGCGGGGGAAGGGGTTACCAATAGAGCATTAACTTCTGCTTGGAGAAAGCTTAGGCCGGAAAGTGTTGTCGATTTGTGACTGAGGGGTTCGAGACAGTACCTGTGGAACCTGTAGTCAACAAGATTGTGTCTTTGACCACTATCATGGGATTGTAGGTGGATAAAGTTATATCGAAGAGCTTGTGGAAGAGCACAGCCAAGAGCTGACCATCCAAGAGCTTATCGAGTTGCATTGTGTTTCACAGCAAGAAGTTTTGGAGGAAAGTTTGTCAGATAAGGAGGAGGAGGTAACAGAAAAGTAACAATCTTCTGGCGAAATAAGAAAAGTGCTGAAAGCATGGCAAACTGTTGCATCTTACATTGAGAAGCATCACCCTAATAAGGAAGTGGCTGTGCGCGTTGCAAATTTATTTAATGATAATGTTGTGTGGCATTTTCACCAAATTCTGAAGTGTCGGCAAAAACAAATGTCTCTGGACTTCTTTCTAGTAAAAAAAATAATTAGCTATGTATCATAACTATTTTGACATGGAACCCATTATTGTATTTTACATTAATTTATATGAGAAAAATTATTTCGCATAATGAGTATGATTCTGGAACGAATTGTGCTCATCCAGCGAGGTTCCACTGTATTTTGATGGTAAGTCGGTGTCATTATAATTTTTTTTTCAACTGTGAGTCTTTGTCATTATTTATTATGTATTTTTACTGTAAGTCTTTGTCATTATTTATTGTTTTTGTTTTTACTGTAAGTCTTTTTCATTTATAATTGTTTTTTTTACTGTAAGTCTTTGTCATTATTTATTGTTATTTTGATGGTAAGTCTGTGTCATTATTTATTGTTATTTTGATTGTAAGTCTTTGTCATTATTTATTGTTTTTTTTACTGTGAATCTTTGTCATTATTTATTGTTATTTTGATTGTAAGTCTTTGTCATTATTTATTGTTTTTTTTACTGTGAATCTTTGTCATTATTTATTGTTATTTTGATTGTAAGTCTTTGTCATTATTTATTATTATCTTTACAGTATGTCAGTGTGTTATTATTTATTGTTATGTTTTCTGGAAGTCTGTCATTATTTGTTGTTATCTTGTCTCTGAGTCTTTGTGTCACTTGTCTTGACACTATAAGTCTGTGTGTCACATGTCTTGACACTTTGAGTCTGTGTCACATGTCTGGACACTTTAAGTCTGTGTGTCACATGTCTTGACACTACAGGTCTGTGTCACTTGTCTTGACACTATAAGTCTGTGTGTCACTTGTCTTGACACTTTAAGTCTGTGTGTCACATGTCTTGACACTACAAGTCTGTGTCACTTGTCTTGACACTATAAGTCTGTGTGTCACTTGTCTTGACACTTTAAGTCTATGTGTCACATGTCTGGACACTTTAAGTCTGTGTCACATGTCTTGACGCTTTAAGTCTGTGTCACATGTCTTGACGCTTTAAGTCTGTGTCACATGTCTTGACACTTTAAGTCTGTGTCACATGTCTTGACACTTTAAGTCTGTGTGTCATTTGCCTTGACACTTTAAGTCAGTGTGTCACATGTCTGGACATTTTAAGTCTGTGTGTCACATGTCTTGACACTATAAGTCTGTGTCACATGTCTGACACTATAAGTCTGTGTCACTTGTCTTGACACTGTAAGTCTGTGTCACATGTCTTGACACTACAAGTCTGTGTCACTTGTCTTGACACTATAAGTCTGTGTGTCATTTGCCTTGACACTATAAGTCTGTGTGTCACATGTCTTGACACTTTAAGTCTGTGTGTCACATGTCTTGACACTTTAAGTCTGTGTCACATGTCTTGACACTACAAATCTGTGTCACTTGTCTTGACACTATAAGTCTGTGTGTCACATGTCTTGACACTTTAAGTCTGTGTCACATGTCTTGACACTACAAGTCTGTGTCACTTGTCTTGACACTATAAGTCTGTGTGTCACTTGTCTTGACACTATAAGTCAGTGTGTCACATGTCTGGACATTTTAAGTCTGTGTGTCACATGTCTTGACACTATAAGTCTGTGTGTCACATGTCTTGACACTTTAAGTCTGTGTGTCACATGTCTGGACACTTTAAGTCTGTGTGTCACATGTCTTGACACTATAAGTCTGTGTGTCACATGTCTGGACACTTTAAGTCTGTGTGTCACATGTCTGGACACTTTAAGTCTGTGTCACATGTCTTGACACTTTAAGTCTGTGTCACATGTCTTGACACTTTAAGTCTGTGTCACATGTCTTGACACTATAAGTCTGTGTCACTTGTCTTGACACTATAAGTCTGTGTCACATGTCTTGACACTACAAGTCTGTCACTTGTCTTGACACTATAAGTCAGTGTGTCACATGTCTTGACACTTTAAGTCTGTGTGTCACATGTCTTGACACTATAAGTCTGTGTCACTTGTCTTGACACTGTAAGTCTGTGTCACATGTCTTGACACTACAAGTCTGTGTCACTTGTCTTGACACTATAAGTCTGTGTGTCATTTGCCTTGACACTATAAGTCTGTGTGTCACATGTCTTGACACTTTAAGTCTGTGTCACATGTCTTGACACTTTAAGTCTGTGTCACATGTCTTGACACTACAAATCTGTGTCACTTGTCTTGACACTATAGGTCTGTGTGTCACATGTCTTGACACTTTAAGTCTGTGTCACATGTCTTGACACTACAAGTCTGTGTCACTTGTCTTGACACTATAAGTCTGTGTGTCACTTGTCTTGACACTATAAGTCTGTGTGTCACATGTCTGGACACTTTAAGTCTGTGTGTCACTTGTCTTGACACTATAAGTCTGTGTCACTTGTCTTGACACTTTAAGTCTGTGTCACATGTCTTGACACTTTATGTCTGTGTCACATGTCTTGACACTATAAGTCTGTGTCACTTGTCTTGACAATACAAGTCTGTGTGTCACATGTCTTGAAACTATAAGTCTGTGTCACTTGTCTTGACAATATAAGTCTGTGTGTCACATGTCTTGACACTATAAGTCTGTGTCACTTGTCTTGACAATACAAGTCTGTGTGTCACATGTCTTGAAACTATAAGTCTGTGTCACTTGTCTTGACACTATAAGTCTGTGTGTCACATGTCTTGACACTATAAGTCTGTGTCACTTGTCTTGACAATACAAGTCTGTGTGTCACATGTCTTGAAACTATAAGTCTGTGTCACTTGTCTTGACACTATAAGTTATCTGTGTCACATGTCTTGACACTATAAGTCTGTGTGTCACGTGTCTTGACCATGTGTGTGCATGTGAGCCAGAGAGAGTTCATTTATGTTTGCTGTGTAGGTGTGTTTATATGAGACAGCTATGTAGAAGTGGGTGGTAATTGATAGACACTCTTGCTATGGTTGCAGATAAAACTGAAAACACTGTTGATGAAAACAGCGGTGGATGACTTTGTGAGTACAGCACAGATCTGCTCACCACACACTGGCGATGTGGTGTGTTCTATAGCAGGCTTGGCTTCCATCTGTACATATGATCATGTAGCATCCATACACATAGATCTTCCAGGTTGGTTGTCTGGCATCATTGTTGTCTGATATACAGAATATTCTTTAGTGTACACTCTTTTTCACTGATGCAGTCTCTTATCTGGCATGCAGAACATTCTTTAGTGTACACAATATTTCACTGATGCAGTCTCTTGTTATCTGGCATACAGAACATACTTTAGTGTACACAATATTTCACTGATGCAGTCTCTTGTTATCTGGCATACAGAACATTCTTTAGTGTACACAATATTTCACTGATGCGGTCTTTTCTTCTTCTTCTTCTTCGTTCACCAGCTGTACACTCTGGCGGAAGGTTCTGGTTGCTCGTCCACTACTGAACTGCAGTCCTGCTCCAGAACCTGAGTGTTGCGTGTGCATCAGTTTTACAGATCTCATTCTCTTGAATACAGACTGTCGGTTCCTTGCCTCTCCGGCAGATGCACTCCGACTTCAAAGGAAGCTCCCCAATTAGTCGACTCTTACGACATGCTTTTGGGGAGGCAGTGGGTCTATTCTTGTTTTCCCCACAATGGGGCCCCGGAACCCACACGGGGGATGCGGTCTTTTGTTATCTGGCATACAGAACATTGTTTAGTTCTTTAGTGTACACAATATTTCACTGATACAGTCTCTTGTTATCTGGCATACAGAACATACTTTAGTGTACACAGTATTTCACTGATGCAGTCTCTTGTTATCTGGCATACAGAACATTCTTTAGTGTACACAATATTTCACTGATGCAGTCTCTTGTTATCTGGCATACAGGACATTCTTTAGTGTACACAATATTTCACTGATGCAGTCTCTTGTTATCTGGCATACAGAACATACTTTAGTGTACACAGTATTTCACTGATGCAGTCTCTTGTTATCTGGCATACAGAACATACTTTAGTGTACACAATATTTCACTGATGCAGTCTCTTGTTATCTGGCATACAGAACATTCTTTAGTGTACACTCTATTTGATGCGGTCTTTTGTTATTTGACCTACAGAAAATATTTTAGTGTGGACAAAATTTCACATGTGCAGTCTTTGCAACAAGATGTATGATGTAGTCAGTATCACATTGGCACATTTATATACACAAGTGCACACTTGATGTGCGATTATGATGTGATTAGTATCACAGTGGTATACATGTATAGACCAGTGCACACTTGATGTGTGATGTGGTCAGAATCACATTGACATGTTTTTATAGACCAGTGCATACTTGATGTGTGATGTGGTCAGTATCGAATTGGCCATATTTGTGAACAGAATGGTTAGACAGGGCAGGTAACCCCTCCTGACAACCTCCTCTTGGTAAAGAATTATTAAAGAGCATGCAGCAAGTGGAATGCTACCTAGCAGTTTAGTTAAACAGGTCAGAACAAATACACTTGACATTTAACAAAGGATGTAGTTATAAAACTTGATATACTGCTTTATTATACTAGCAATCATTTAGATGACATGTGTTAGTTTGAAATGTTTAAACAAACAGTGACTGTCTGATGGTTTGGTAGTGATGAGATGCTTCAGTGCAATGTTTAAACAAACAGTGATGGCTGATGAAATGGTAGTGATGAGATGCTTCAGTGCAATGTTTAAACAAACAGTGATGGCTGATGGTATGGTAGTGATGAGATGCTTCAGTGCAATGTTTAAACAAACAGTGACTGGCTGATGAAATGGTAGTGATGAGATGCTTCAGTACAATGTTTAAACAAACAGTGACTGGCTGATGGTATGGAGTGATGAGATGCCTTAGTGCAATGTTTATACAAACAGTGACTGGCTGATGAAATGGTAGTGATGAGATGCTTCAGTGTAATGTTTAAACAAACAGTGACTAGCTGATGGTATGGTAGTGATGAGATGCCTTAGTGCAATGTTTAAACAAACAGTGACTGGCTGATGGTATGGTAGTGATGAGATGCTTCAGTGTAATGTTTAAACAAACAGTGACTGGCTGATGAAATGGTAGTGATGAGATGCTTCAGTGTAATGTTTAAACAAACAGTGACTGGCTGATGGTATGGTAGTGATGAGATGCTTCAGTGTAATGTTTAAACAAACAGTGACTGGCTGATGGTATGGAGTGATGAGATGCCTTAGTGCAATGTTTATACAAACAGTGACTGGCTGATGAAATGGTAGTGATGAGATGCTTCAGTGCAATGTTTAAACAAACAGTGACTGGCTGATGGTATGGTAGTGATGAGATGCTTCAGTGCAATGTTTAAACAGTGACTGGCTGATGGTATGGTAGTGATGAGATGCTTCAGTGCAATGTTTAAACAAACAGTGACTAGCTGATGGTATGGTAGTGATGAGATGCTTCAGTGCAATGTTTAAACAGTGACTAGCTGATGGTATGGTAGTGATGAGATGCTTCAGTGCAATGTTTAAACAAACAGTGACTGGCTGGTGGTATGGTAGTGATGAGATGCTTCAGTGCAATGTTTAAACAAACAGTGACTGGCTGATGGTATGGAGTGATGAGATGCTTCAGTACAATGTTTAAACAAACAGTGACTGGCTGATGGTATGATAGTGATGAGATGCTTCAGTGCAATGTTTAAACAAACAGTGATGGCTGGTGGTATGATAGTGATGAGATGCTTCAGTGCAATGTTTAAACAAACAGTGACTGGCTGGTGGTATGATAGTGATGAGATGCTTCAGTGTAATGTTTAAACAAACAGTGACTGGCTGGTGGTATGATAGTGATGAGATGCTTCAGTGCAATGTTTAAACAAACAGTGATGGCTGGTGGTATGATAGTGATGAGATGCTTCAGTGCAATGTTTAAACAAACAGTGATGGCTGATGGTATGATAGTGATGAGATGCTTCAGTGCAATGTTTAAACAAACAGTGACTGGCTGATGGTATGGTAGTGATGAGATGCTTCAGTGCAATGTTTAAACAGTGACTAGCTGATGGTATGGTAGTGATGAGATGCTTCAGTGCAATGTTTAAACAAACAGTGACTGGCTGGTGGTATGGTAGTGATGAGATGCTTCAGTGCAATGTTTAAACAAACAGTGACTGGCTGGTGGTATGGTAGTGATGAGATGCTTCAGTGCAATGTTTAAACAAACAGTGACTGGCTGGTGGTATGGTAGTGATGAGATGCTTCAGTGCAATGTTTAAACAAACAGTGACTGGCTGATGGTATGATAGTGATGAGATGCTTCAGTGCAATGTTTAAACAAACAGTGACTGGCTGATGGTATGGTAGTGATGAGATGCTTCAGTGCAATGTTTAAACAAACAGTGACTGGCTAATGGTATGATAGTGATGAGATGCTTCAGTGCAATGTTTAAACAAACAGTGATGGCTGGTGGTATGGTAGTGATGAGATGCTTCAGTGCAATGTTTAAACAAACAGTGACTGGCTGATGGTATGATAGTGATGAGATGCTTCAGTGCAATGTTTAAACAAACAGTGACTAGCTGATGGTATGGTAGTGATGAGATGCTTCAGTGCAATGTTTAAACAAACAGTGACTGGCTGATGGTATGGTAGTGATGAGATGCTTCAGTGCAATGTTTAAACAAACAGTGACTGGCTGATGGTATGATAGTGATGAGATGCTTCAGTGCAATGTTTAAACAAACAGTGATGGCTGGTGGTATGGTAGTGATGAGATGCTTCAGTGCAATGTTTAAACAAACAGTGACTGGCTGGTGGTATGATAGTGATGAGATGCTTCAGTGCAATGTTTAAACAAACAGTGACTGGCTGGTGGTATGATAGTGATGAGATGCTTCAGTGCAATGTTTAAACAAACAGTGACTGGCTGGTGGTATGGTAGTGATGAGATGCTTCAGTGCAATGTTTAAACAAACAGTGACTAGCTGATGGTATGATAGTGATGAGATGCTTCAGCTAGAGAACTGAGCACCTGAGATTACAGTGATTGATGTTCTTCTGATGATGATAAGTTTATGAACAAAAATACTGAACAAATCTTTGTGGTTATACAAAATAAAACCTCAGAGAGTCCTGCGTTGAGGCCCTGCTTAGCTATTCCCAATCTGCTGATCTCCTACACAATGTTGGTTTGTACAACTGGTCACTCGGCTTAGCACTGATTTGTCCTTGCCCCTGAAGGGAACTGTAATAATTGAAACAAACACATGTGTGTAGTATCTAGATTTACACCAAGCATGCATATTCTAACAATAACATCTCATCTCTCTTTTCATATCCACATTCTCTCTAGTCTAGTCTGAAGCTCTTATGTCTCACACTGACGTCCTCCAAATGTTGCCTTCCCTCTCAGGTACTGTCATGATAGTTAGATGCTGCCTTCCCTCTCAGGTACTGTCATGATAGTTAGATTCCTAAGTCTGTTGTCCGTCTTCACTCAGACTTCAAAACTTGCTGACATTGCTTTGACCTGAATGTGTGGCGCAGGTTGTGTACTGAAAACCCTAAAATATATATGTGTCTGCTGTCCTGAATATTAATGTTCCAGTGACAGTTAAGTAAATACTCCCATGGTTTTCCCCTGGGTTCTCAATCCCCTGGGTAGGTAAACACATGTTATTGAGCACATGGTGCCATCAAAATTGTCAACACATAGCTGCACATGTGGGCATCATGTCCCCACAGTCTATACACATGTTTTGGTTGGTGTTGAAAACATTTTAATTTCATCACATTTCATTATATTAAATATAATTATTCGTCTTATTTTCTGAACAGATACACTAAAAACCATGTAATATAAACATTCAAGAAAAGTAGTAGTTTACCAGCTCTCTAACAAAAAATAACTTAATACTCATAAAGAACTATTTCAAGCAGAAGGTAGATAATTCAGTAAAGGTAGCGTAGAATAGCTAGACTTCTAACAGATGAATAAAAGAGTAACATTTTTATTCATTCATACATTTAAAAATTGCAACAATCTGCCAAACACAAGAGTCACACAGCTAGAAGTACAAACTTTCTGCCGTTGATCTGCGTTGGTGGCAGGCTGGTCTACATACTGATTTGAATTCATGATCCCTAGAATTATTAATCTTTTTTATGTCACTTTGTAGAGTAGCTTCTCCCCTTATTCTGTACCAAACTCTGTCTTACAGGAGAGAATTTCAGCCCTTCCCCTGAGGTACCTTAAAATTAGTTATCCTTCACTGTGCCTGTCAGTCAGTTCTGACTGCCCATCTCTAATCAAACATTCCTAAGTAGGCAAATCTAGTTTTCCCCAGTGTCACTGGAAAGGTGTGAAAAACCAGCCAACTGTGGAACACAATAGCTGGACTTTCTTGCTGGCCAGATTTATGTCTCTTGATCTGACAGCTTCAAACATGCCCAGTCTGGCCTTTTATGTAACATTTTTGAGACTCTGTTCCCCCCTTTTTCTCCCAGTAGATTGACTGGCGTATATTATGCAATCTTAGGTCATGACTAATTTCTTTGTCTGGGCTAAGACTGGAAACAGTTTTAAATCCCACATGATTTAAGTAATATTTGGACTTAGTGCATAGTAAATAGAATTCTAGTTTATGGATTAAAAATAAAAAAATTATAAAACCTAATAACTTCTGAAAACATTTGGTCACACCATTTGAAACACCATTATCGTACTCAGACAGACCGTACGAAAGTATTTGGGCTTCTTTGCATAATATCTGTATACAGGTCATGTTTCACAGGCATACAGCAGTAGTGGAAGCACTGAAGCATTGCTTAACCAGACATTGGCATAATGTCTGCCAAATGTGCAGCTGGCTTTAGAGATCCTGTTGGTTGCCTTATCTTTGATGGTGACATTTTGAAATTGAGTATTACCAAAGTACAAGAATCTATCCACAACCCTCAGTTTCTTGCCATCTGCCAAAATGGTTGGTTCAGTATACACTTTCCTTGTTAATGGTTAGCAAATGGTTTTTTTTTTTTTTTTTCATAGTGATGGTAAGCTCAAAGTTGTGACAGGCCTTATAGAATCTATCCATGTTGTACTGCAGATCTGCTTAAAATCCAGCATTTAGACCACAATTGTCAGCAAAAAAGAAGATCCCTGATAAACAAGATTGAACCTTGGTTGTTGCATGAAGTGGCCTAAGGTTGAAGTGTTTTCCATTAAATCTGTAGCTGTTATCAAGTCTGGTATCTCCATCACAAAAAACATCAGACAGCACAGCTGAGAATGTCCTACTAGAGTTGGTGCGAGCACTCATCCTTGCTTCACACCATTTGAGACATGGACAGGTTCACATAGTTCCCCATTGTCCTGGATTCAAACTTGCATTTGATCGTGCAGTTTCTGCACAATCGTGACACATTTCTTTGGGCAGCTGCATTTTGACATGGTCTTCCATAAACCCTCTCTCTTAACGAATCTAATGCTTTTGTCAGGTCAGTGAAAGCCATAAACGAATCACATTGTTGTTCCTCTTGGCATATACCATGTCTATGATTCAAAGCTCTTTCTGGAATCCAAACTTAAAACAATTTAGAAATATTCTTGCGAGTATTTTCCATGTGAATGATTTTAAAGAGATGCCCTAGTGATTGATGCACAATTTATCAATATTCTTGCAAGTATTTTCCATGTGATTGATTTTGGATTGATACCCTGGTGATTTATGCACAATTTATAAATATTCTTGCAAGTATTTTCCCTGTGATTGATTTTAGATTGATACCCTGGTGATTGATGTACACCTGGTGATTCCCTATCCATGTGAATAAATATTGTATTGATGCATCCTTGAGTTCTTGTGGGATGATTTCATTCTGCCATATTTCTGAGTGCTGCAGAACAAGAACAAGTTTCTCTAACTACCAGTGTAACCACGCATGTCACTCCGCCACTCCGCCATCGCCATAGGACTTGATAAGTTGGTTAGATGAATAAAGAATGAAAAATGTGGTTGGTACAGTGAATTAGAGGATATCCTACAGGAGAAAAGTGAAATAATGGTCAACAATGAGAAAAAAATCTTCCAGCAAAAAAGTGAGATGAAAATCAATGAAAGGATATCTTCCAGTAGAAATGTGAGATAATGGTCATTTATGAGAGAAAATCCTCCAGTAGAAAAGTGATATAATGATCAACAATGAGAGGATATTCTCCAGTAGAAAAGTAAGATAATGTTCAACAAACGTTGAGATGATATCCTTCAGTAGAAGTTTGAGTTAATGGTAAAAAAATGAGAGGATATCCTCTAGTAGAAAAGTGAGATCATGATCAACAATGAGAGGTCATCCTGCAGTAGAAAATTAAGATAATGGTCAACAAACAATGAGAAGAAATCCTCCAGTAGAAGTGTTATATAATGGTCAACAATGAAAGGATATCCTCCAGTAGAAGTGTTAGATAATTGTCAACAATGAAAGGATATCCTCCAGTAGAAGTGTTAGATAATTGTCAACAATGAAAGGATATCCTCCAGTAGAAGTGTTAGATAATTGTCAACAATGAAAGGATATCCTCCAGTAGAAGTGTTAGATAATTGTCAACAATGAAAGGATATCCTCCAGTAGAAGTGTTAGATAATGGTCAACAATGAAAGGATATCCTCCAGTAGAAGTGTTAGATAATTGTCAACAATGAAAGGATATCCTCCAGTAGAAGTGTTAGATAATTGTCAACAATGAAAGGATATCCTCCAGTAGAAGTGTTAGATAATGGTCAACAATGAAAGCATATCCTCCAGTAGAAGTGTTAGATAATTGTCAACAATGAAAGGATATCCTCCAGTAGAAGTGTTAGATAATTTTCAACAATGAAAGGATATCCTTCAGTAGAAGTGTTAGATAATTGTCAACAATGAAAGGATATCCTTCAGTAGAAGTGTTAAATAATGGTCAACAATGAAAGGATATCCTCCAGTAGAAGTGTTAGATAATTGTCAACAATGAAAGGATATCCTCCAGTAAAAAGTCAGATATGTTCAACAATGAAATGATATCCTCCAGTAGAAGTGTTAGATAATTGTCAACAATGAAAGGATATCCTCCAGTAAAAAGTCAGATATGTTCAACAATGAAATGATATCCTCCAGTAGAAGTGTTAGATAATTGTCAACAATGAAAGGATATCCTCCAGTAGAAAGTCAGATATGTTCAACATTGAAATGATATCCTCCAGTAGAAGTGTGAGATAATGGTCAACAATGAGAGGGTGTCCTCCAGTAGAAAAAATGAGATCTTTTCACCTGTGGCTTTTGCATTTATATCTACAGACCCGCCTTCCAATAGGAGCATCCCAACTAAGTCTGCTGGAACACAGGATCTGGCCCTGACCATCATCATGCCAATCTTAGCTGTCCTGGTGCCACTAACCATTCTAGGGGTGTGGGTGCTCAGCCACATTTTCAAGTCATATCCCCAGTACAGGGACCAACGCCATCTGTCAGAGTGAGTCTTTGCTTCTCTGGTCACAGATAATGTACATCTCTTGTCATAGATAATGTACACCTCTTGTCATAGATAATGTACACCTCTTGTCATAGATAATGTACACATCACGTCACAGATAATGTACACCTCTTGTCATTGATAATATACACATCATGTCACAGATAATGTACACTTCTTGTCATAGATAATATACACATCATGTCACAGATTATGTACACTTCTTGTCATAGATAATGTACACATCATGTCACAGATAATGTACACATCTTGTCATTGATAATATACACATCATGTCACAGATAATGTACACATATTGCCATAGATAGTATACACATCATGTCACAGATAATGTACACATTTTTGTCATAGATAGTATACACATCATGTCACAGATAATGTACACTTCTTGTCATTGATAATATACACATCATGTCACAGATAATGTACACTTCTTGTCATAGATAATATACACATCATGTCACAGATAATGTACACTTCTTGTCATTGATAATATACACATCATGTCACAGATAATGTACACATATTGCCATAGATAATATACACATCATGTCACAGATAATGTACACATATTGCCATAGATAGTATACACATCATGTCACAGATAATGTACACATTTTTGTCATAGATAATGTACACATATTGTCACAGACAATGTACACATATTGTCATAGATAGTATACATATATTCTCATAGATAGTATACACATCATGTCACAGATAATGTACACATATTGTCATAGATTTCCTCCCAAATGCACCGAATACTCCTCTCTCCCTCACCAAAGAAACGCCCACATATAAACATTTCCATACACTCTGTCAACAACTCTTCGATACCATAATGCAGATTTCTAAGGTCAACAGTCAAAGGTCACCTATCAACGTAAATAACAACTTGAATTGTGAACGCAACAAAGAGGAAAAGTAAATTAGATAGTCGGGAAACAAAACCGAGATGCCAATGTGATCGTCGCTGGAACTATGTAACATGCTGAGAGAAGAAATACAATCTAGAAATAAAGTATACCATGCTCTTAAACATCTGCTAAAGTCAAAGTGTCTGTCTCGCAACACCAAGATCCAAATATATAAAATGTTGATAAGACCAGTCGTTTTATATGGCTCTGAAACTTGAAGCAGAAATAAAAAAGATGAGGCCTTATTAAAGGTTTTCAAAAACAGTCTTACGGCAAATCTTTGGACCCATCAAAGATGTTAACAGCGGGGAATAGAGAGTGAGAAGCAACAGCGTAACACATAATATGTTTAAATCACTATTGATCACTGGCATCATGAGAGCTAACAGACTATAATGGTTGGGGTATATTGAAAGAATGTCAGATGACACAGAAGAAGAAACTGTATACACCTGAGAAAGGAATGGGCGTAGACCACGAGGCAGACACACAAAAAAATCGAGAGATAATGTCCAGCCAGACCTGCAAACAGCTGGTGTCGCAAATTGTGAAGAGAAGGCCAGCCAGAGAGATGAATGGAGACAAGTGATATTGCAGCAGTAAACCTCAATGGCTCAGAATGCTAAAGAAGAAGATGATTATTCTGTGCTACTTTATGTAAAGGAAAAGTTTAGCGTACATTTGACATTATGAATGTGTGTGTGTGTGTCTGTTTTTTTTTAAATTATATATATTTCATACACAATTCATATTCGTATTTGTATTCGGCCGAATAGTTGGTCCCACTATTCGTATTCGGCCGAATAGTGAAAATCGCTATTCGGTACAGCCCTAATTACTACCAATGAAAATTTACATTTTTATTAACATAGATGTGCATGCTAAACTAAACTGTGCAGTGGTTGTCTGTCACCTTGTTAGCAACTTGTGTGATGTATTATATGGGTTATGATTGATGTAGTATTGATTTTAGTCTGTTGACAGTTGCTGTATTTCGCTAGTCTGTTGACAGTTGTGGTATTTTGTTAGTCTGTTTAAAGATGCTGTATTTTATTAGTCTGTTTATAATTGCTGTATGTTATCAATCTGTTTTAAGTTGATGTATTTTGTTAGTCTGTTTAAAGATGCTGTATTGAATCAGTCTGTTTATTATTGCTGTATTTTATCAGTGTGTGTATGCTGTATTTTATTAGTCTGTTTAAATTGCAGAATTGAATGAGAGTGGTTGAGGGGGTATTTTTAGCCTGGGGTTTAGAGTCGCATGGCTAGTGCAGTCATCACAGACTCTGCTGGTTGGCCTCAACAGACAGAATCTCTAGCATTTCTGAGGACCTGTCTCTCCTGCATGAGAGCTCAGGGCTCTGACAACTCAGACAGAGCCTCCTTATTAGTCTGTCTTTCATTGCTGTATTCTGTTAGTTTGTCCATACTTGCTGTATTAAGTTAGTTTGTCCATACTTGCTGTATTAAGCTAGTTTGTCCCAACTTGTTGTATTGTTTAAGATTGTTGAAATTGTTTTCAGCCGAGAACCTCAGGTTGAGATAGACATCGAAGAGAATGGTGGCACAGAACAAACCCATGACAATGATGGACAGAGTGAGGGAGAAGATGATCACAATGAAATCAAAGACGGCATTGGGAATATAGGAGGAGATGAGACTTCACCCAATGGCATGGGAAACCATAATAGCCAGCATCTTCATGATGTCATCGGTGGCATTGATGATACAGCAGAGGATGATGAAAGTAGAGCTAATGAAGATAAGCCCTTGATGAATGGTCAGTTTCCACATTCTGAATAAATGTTGTTGTTGTTGTTGTTGGTGGTGGTATTGATGATACAGCAGAGGATGATGAAAGTAGAGCTAATGAAGATAAGCCTTTGATGAATGGTCAGTTTCCACATTCTGAATAAATGTTGTTGTTTGTTGTTGTTGGTGGTGGTATTGATGATACAGCAGAGGATGATGAAAGTAGAGCTAATGAAGATAAGCCTTTGATGAATGGTCAGTTCCACATTCTGAATAAATGTTGTTGTTGTTGTTTGTTGTTGTTGTTTGTTTTTGTTGTTGTTGGTGGTGATATTGATGATACAGCAGAGGATGATGAAAGCAGAGCTAATGAAGATACACCTTTGATGAATGGTCAGTTCCACATTCTAAATAAATGTTGTTGTTGTTTGTTGTTGTTGTTTGTTGGTGGTGGTGGTATTGATGATACAGCAGAGGATGATGAAAGTAGAGCTAATGAAGATAAGCCTTTGATGAATGGTCAGTTCCACATTCTAAATAAATGTTGTTGTTTGTTGTTGTTGGTGGTGGTGGTATTGATGATACTGCAGAGGATGATGAAAGTAGAGCTAATGAAGATAAGCCTTTGATGAATGGTCAGTTTCCACATTCTGAATAAATGTTGTTGTTGTTCAGACTGCCTTCAGTCCTCATAGATTGCTACACTATACACACACATGTGGAGTAGGGTAGTAACGTGTGTTCTCATACTTAAGTGGGGTATGGAATGGTATTGACAGAACAGAATCTACACTCCTGATAGAAGAAATATTCCATCCACACCAGTTTCTTAAGAATATTTCTGAGCACATGAGTTTAATGTCACTAGAGAGCCAACATTGACTGTGTGAATGGTTCTGCTCTCTTTACATTAGTACTCCTTTAAGGGGTTAACAAACTTAAACACAGTCACATTTCACAATATATTCTCATTCCAACAACATGAGTTCTCATCACAAAGAAAGGGAATCTAGGAGTGAATTTGCGTGGGTGTAAAACTCATAACATGTACGTTATGCAGTTTGAAAATGAATGGGAATTATAAATATCTCAATCAGTATAACTGGGTGCAGGGATAGATGTCATAACACATTTCTAGATGACAGTTGGTTTCCCACCTGTTACATTATTAACATAAAATATTCAACACTAACTCTAGTTTCACCATGAATAAATACATGTGGTAAATCTGTTTCAATAGATTTTAGAAGTTGAGAAGGGTGAAATATAATTATTAATGATATCGAGCCACACACAGTACTACTGAAAATATATTCCTAGGGATAGGGAATTATATATAACAATAATTATTACAAGCACAGGCCAGCCCGTGGTATTCCCTTTCCAGGCTCTTAAATTCTCCGAATTCACTGGACTAAATCTAAATTATAGCCAGACAATAATTTATAAGATTAAAATCACCAGGAGGTTAAATAAGTTAGTAAGGGTTATTAAAAATAATGGCGCTTATTTGAATCGTTCCCCGAAATGGCGGCTTTAATATGATGGCGTTCAAAAAGGAGCTAAATTGGCCAATTTCTGGCCAAAAAATATCCAAAAATATCCGAATGCGCGGTCAGTTCTATTAAAAATATATGTGCCGGCTCCGAATAACGAAACAAATGCTCTGAAAAGGTCTCAGCGATACGTTGCTTGCCGACCTGCTTCTGCGAGTGTGCCTCACCGCCGAGCGTATTCTCCGCGCCGCGCGTAGCGGCTCGGATGGGGCTAAATGAGATAGCTGGGACTCACGAGTGGCAGCTACCGCATCTCCTGCAACTTCCTCCAGTTACTGTACTCGTGAGTCCCAGGCACCTAGATACGCTCGGCGATGAGTTTAATCGCATTTGGCGCATGCCGACAAGTCAGTCATCTACCGCTGCTAAATCCTCCAATCGGAAGAACACAGTATTGCTAATCGTTTTCATCGTCTGTAATGTCTCGAAATTGGTCAACGGTCGCTAATATCGTCTGCTAGTATCGTCGTCTGCAGAAACGCTCGAAATTGTTGTCAACGGTCGGTATTTATCGTCTGCTACTAGTTCCGTGTGCAATGTTGATAGTGATTGTCAAGTAATCCTTGTTTTGCTGCGATTTGTCCCTTGGCAGACAGTCCGTATTTTAGATATACGGGAACATCGTCGTTCGGATAATTTTGGATATTTTATGGCCAGAATGTGGCATGCCGCCATTTTGGGGAATGGATCAAAGGAGTGCCAAAATAATTATAACAATCAGATATACAAATTAATGTTTCTAGTAGCAAATAAACATTATATCAATCATCAAATAGATCAAATATTTTCGTAGTTATACATACTAGAGCTTAAAAATGGTTAGTAAGGACAAAGAAATTTATCAAGGTTTTTCCCACATGTGGTCAGGATATATTTATATATATAGTCAAGCAGATAAAATGAATTCAGAGGAATTAGCAGTCATTGGTTACATTAGAATAATAGTACTATTCACTCACCCCTGGTAGGCATTTCAAACACTCGGTGGTGACTGCAGTTAAGAGTACCTGCTTGTTGACCATATTTCTCTGTTTGAAAAGAAAGTGGGATGGGCTAAAAAGAAAGGGAAAGTACTCTGTTTGATCCTCCCAATTCTCATGTACTTTTTAAAATGTTCTAATTATGAAATTTATAATATTGCTGTTAAGAAGCAATAATTAATAGGTAAGAAACAGCAGTCCAGACCAGCTCGTCACACTAGCAGTAAGACAAATCTGCCTTGTATTTATTTTTGCACTTAGACAACACTTATTTTTTTTAAATATTTATTCTGACAGCAACACTATCAAATGTATGGCTACCTTAATTAAGACAGTCCTCATGTTTGTTATGTCTACATTTTCAGCCTCAATCAGTACTGCTGTATGAGCTAGCAACTCTACTAGAAGTACAAGTTCGGGTTACATTATTGCAGCATGCATATAGATTTGTTCACCACATGAAATAAATCCGCCCAAAATGCAGTCAACACATGAAACTTTCACCAGCAGAGCTGATCATCTTATAAGTTAGTCTAATGGTAACATTTATGTCAGTTTTATTTGTTCTAATATCAGTGACAGGTTTGTCACATTGAGTGTCAGTAAAAGCCCGTGTGTTAGTATAGTTGGTATATAATCAAATGTTGGAAGATCTGTTAGTATAGTTGGTATGTTATGAAATGTTGGAGGATTTGTTAGGATAGTTGGTTTCTAGTCAAATGCTGAAAGATTGGTTAGTAACCTTGATATTTGGTCAAATGTTGGAAGATCTGTTAATATAGTTGGTAATTTATCAAATGTTGTTTAGATTTGATAATATACTTAGGATCTAACATTGTTTGAGAAGCTGTTAGAATAGTTAGGAATCTGACATAATGTTAGAGAATCTGTTAGTACAGTTGGGATCTGAGATAGTGTTAAAGAAAGAATCTGATAGTTTAGTTAGTTGGTTAGTATCTGACCTAATTGTATATGTCCAACCTTTTGGTGACAGTTGGATTTGGTTTTATTTAAAACTAGAGACATCTGTGAATGGTCAGTGACATTCTATTGATTATCATATTTGTCATTGACACTGCAGTGACTACAAACCAGATAGAGGTCATTGGTTAGATCTGACAGTGATGAGGAACCAGACTAATGTTGTTTGTTAGATCTGACAGTGATGAGGAACCAGACTAATGTTGTTTGTTAGATCTGACAGTGATGAGGAACCAGACTAATGTTGTTTGTTAGATCTGACAGTGATGAGGAACCAGACTAATGTTGTTTGTTAGATCTGACAGTGATGAGGAACCAGACTAATGTTGTTTGTTAGATCTGACAATGACATGTAACCAGACTAATAGCATTTATTAGATCTGGCATTGGCAGGGAGCCAGATTATTGTCATTGGTTAGATCTGACAAGAAACCAGACTGATGTAATTGGTTAAATCTGACAGTGACAGGGTGCCAGATTATTGTCATTGGTTAGATCTAACAGTAGTAGTGTATGAGACGTTTAGAGGCTGTGTTTACATCCGGGGAATTAGCAGTCACCCTCTTTATCCTTAGTAAAAGATCGATCGGTTGGCTGTTGACATCACCCGTGATTGGTTTTCCATGAGGGTGCAGATTGATATATATGGTGCTAGTGAATAAATTGATAATTTGCAGTCGTTTGTCTACAAAGCGGCGGGTGACTCATTCACCTCCGGGGTGCCATTTGTCAGCGTTTTCTATTTAGGGGATTGATACAGCTTTAAGGAAGGCAAATCAATATTTCTTTAGTGCAGAACAGATTTATCATCGCTGACATATACTGCACTCTATAGTTGTACTGTTGGCTGATATACACTGCATCATGTAGTCATACTGTTGACTCACATATACTACATCCTATAGTCATACTGTTGAAAGATATATACTACATCCTGTAGTCATTATGTTGACTGATGTATACTACATCCTATAGTCATACTGTTGACTGATATATACTACATCCTATAGTCATTATGTTCACTGATATAAACTACATCCTATAGTCATTATGTTGACAGATATATACTACATCCTATAGTCATTATGTTGACTGATATATACTACATCCTATAGTCATACTGTTGACTGATATATACTACATCCTATAGTCATTATGTTGACTGATATATACTACATCCTATAGTCATTATGTTGACTGATATATACTACATCCTATAGTCATTATGTTGACTGATATAAACTACATCCTATAGTCATTATGTTGACTGATATATACTACATCCTATAGTCATTATGTTGACTGATATATACTACATCCTGTAGTCATTATGTTGACTGATATATACTACATCCTATAGTCATTATGTTGACTGATATATACTACATCCTATAGTCATTATGTTGACTGATATATACTACATCCTATAGTCATTATGTTGACTGATATATATACTACATCCTTTAGTCATTATGTTGACTGATATATACTACATCCTATAGTCATACTGT